ATACTAAACTATATCGACGATTGGTTGATCTTAGCTCAGTCAGAGCAGATGGTGGTTCGACATCGAGATGTCGTTCTCGCCCACATGAGAGAGCTGGGGTTAAGACTAAATGCCAAGAAGAGTGTGCTTTCTCCATTACAGAGGACCACTTGTCTGGGCGTGGTGTGGGATTCGACCACGATGCAGGCACGGTTGTCTCCTGTTTGGATCGAGTCGATCCTCACCGCAGTCGCGAGAGTCAGAGAAGGCCGGTCACTCACTGTCAAGCAGTTTCAGAGACTGCTGGGTCTGATGGCAGCTGCGTCCAACGTGATACCTCTTGGCCTGCTGTACATGAGACCCCTACAGTGGTGGCTCAAGACCAAGGGGTTCTCCCCGAGGGGAAACCCGCTTTGCATGATCAGGGTCACGCAGCGATGCCTACGTGCCTTGGACATGTGGAGGAAACCTTGGTTCTTGTCTCAGGGCCCGGTGCTGGGAGCTCCTTGTCAATCAATTCTTTCAAAACGACTGATTCATTCATTCAGGAATTCATGAATGGATCAGTGAGTCATTGAATCACCCGATTTGTTCAAAAACGCAAATTCATTCAGTAAGGAAACACCGCTGTGCTGTTGCTGCAGAGACGCTCAACATGATTTTGTTTGGAACCATTTTCTTTAGTGAAATATAGCAAAAAATACAATATTGTCTCTGCAATTTAAATCACTTACTGTTTATTTCTTGTTCGTTGAATTGTTGCCCTGACACTAAGAGACCATGCTAACCAAACCATTCATATAATCGCTCGTCCCCGTGTCCTAGAGCATACAATTATATGATTAAATATCTATATTTGTTGCTTCAGAGTGACAATGCTCAGTAACAAATAATCTAATTTCAAAAATAACCAAATTGGTATTACAGCGATAAGTTATACAGACACCTGAAGCAGCTGCTGTAACTTTTTATCGCTGGTTGGCCAGTTTACATGTCAATCAGAAGTACGAGCCTCAGTGGGCGGGTCTTGTCGAGAGCAAATCTGCAGTACTAATAGAAATGATTTTAATGCGCATGAAAACTCAGTGATGATTCGAACAGGGCATAGTAAAAACATTTGGGGCTTTACTGAAAATATTAGGGGCTTCAGCCCCCTTAGCCCACCCTTGGCTGAAAGACAGCTTAGCCGTGACACCAAGCTGGCATCACTTCTATGTGCCAGTGTCTGTGACGCTCCTTTCAATCTTGATGAATCGAGTCTAATAATCTGCGCCGGGCTGCTGAATGCCGTATGTTTTTTTCCTATCGCTATGTTTTTGGTCGAACCTCAATTGAGTAAGTTGCCACAAACTGAATCACTGTCTAATTGACATTCATTCGGAGTTTCTCATGGCGGAGTGAATTGCTCTGACCGATTCAAAAGCGTCTGGTTGTCGACAAATGCGTTTCTGGTTGTCATGGCTTTATAATCTGATTCAAATAAAGCAGGCTTTTCTCTGGTCAAAGGCTCCGCTGCGCTTTTGTGTGTTTTACACGTCTGCTGTGGCAAGAGCGTTTGGGAAGAGGTTTATATTTTGGATGCCCATTCCTCCACTTCAAAGGCACAGAGAGGAACCTTTTCTGCCTTTCTGGAAGCAGATGCGCATGGCTTCTCGCCGGCGGTGGGCACGCCATGCGCCGCAGGATCCAAGGAAGACAATCGGTTTGTGGGATGGAGACCTGCTCTGCATCGTTGGTCCCACGTTAGCCGACGCTATAGCCACCGAGCAGAAGAGCAGCAGGAATTCAATAAGGGAATCATAAAGTGCAAGGAATACCCAGGCAATGGGATCGGCGTAATTACCTCGCTTTGTGCTTAATCAGTTGTGAAATACCTCTGATCCCAGATTCTCTGTTAAAAGTGGTTCCTCTGTTCCTGTGCCACTGTTCTGATGCACTTTTTACATCCAGGAATAAACACAATGCTGCTTCGGACGCCTGTTAGAAACTGTGGAAACTAAATCAAACATTTGGAAATTGTGAATTAATATGCTGAAAAGGTATGATTCAGGCAAAATGTTCTTGCTTTAATCCAGTGTGGCAAAAAAAAAAAAAAAAAAAATTTTTTAAGTGTTTAAAGGGTTAGTTCACCCAAAAATGACAATTCGGTCATTAATTACTCACCCACATGTCGTTCCAAACCCGTAAGACCTTTGTTCATCTTCGGAACACAAATTAAGACATTTTTTATTAAATCCGAGTGCTCTCTTACCCTCCATAGACAGCAACACAACTGCAATGTTCCCAGGTACAGAAACGTAGCAAGGACATCAGTAAAATAGTCCATGTGACATCAGGGGTTCAAACATAATTTTACAAAGCAGTGAGAATACTTTTTGTGTGCAAAGAAAACAATAATAACATAATTTATTCTGCATTTCTTCTCCCCGAGTTACCGTCTTCCACCATTTTGGAGAGTACCGTAAAACTTCAAATAATAGCCGAGTCCCAAATAGACGCCTGTCTCTTTTAAACGCCTGGTGTGACGACAGGTTTGGGTAAATAAAGGCCGGTCTCAAATAGAGGCCTGGTCTGTTTTTTTAGTATCGGGTTGTATTTGATCTTCTCAAACCCATCAGATCGTCTGTTCTAAATCACTACTGCGCAGACTTCAGCTCCAAATGAATCACTACTTCACAGACTCAGGCTCCAAACGAATCACTACTGCATAGATTCAGGCTCCAAACAAATCATTACCGCACAGACTCATCTTGAGCTCCAAATGAATCACTACTGCACAGACTCATCTTGAGCTCCAAATGAATCACTACTGCACAGACTTCAGCTCCAAATGAATCATTACTGCACAGACTCAGGATCCAAATGAACCACTACTGCACAGACTCAACTTGAGCTCCAAATGAATCACTGGTTCATCTTGGCAGTAAAAGTTTTCAGAGAGTTCCACATGTAATGGTCATTTTATATGCTAAGATGTTATCCAATCACAGCATTTCATTTGAAGTCTGACAGCAGGCACACCCCGTCCAACAGAGCCTTCAACTCAGAGGCTAATTCAGGGTAGAAAATGACCATTCATATCTAAGCTATGAATGTTTTTGATGAAAAAAAAAAACATACTGAGATTATAAGTGCACCTCAAGAAACATTATAAAATAAAATGTATTAAATGCATTTCATGACCTTTAAAGGTGCAATTCATGCAGAATTACTCGTTGTCAACCCATACTTATTCAAATGAAACGTTCATGCTGTTATTTCAGAGCTGGATGCAAAAATAGTATCAGTCCACAAATATGACTTGAGATGCAGTCTAGAATCATAAATCACACAGCGTTCGTTCATTTAGGCCAGTTCAACAACTAAGCCTGGTTTCTCACAAGGTGTTTTCAATTTCTGTCACCTGATCAAGTCTGGGTTCCTTGTCAAGTGAATTAGTTTCATAATTGATGAATGTTGCAACATTGACACTGTTTTTGAACCGAACTGAAACAACACTTAATCAAATTGATCTGAATATTGACACTATTGTCTTCCGTAGAGCTGCTTTACCGCAAATTTTAAAATTTGTCTCAAATTTAATAAGGTTTGCATTATTAACGCATTGCTGTGAAGCTGCTTTGAAACAGTCTGTACTGTATAAAGCACTGTAGAAAAAAAAGGTGACTTGATTTGACTTCCTTTCAGTGAAAGTGGACAGCTGTCAAGAACCAAAAAACAATAACAAAGCCTACATAACAGTAGGGTTAGCATACTATTAGATAAGCATTTTGATTATATGAGTAAAATTATGACAATTTCCATTTTTGACGGAACTACTGTACTTCTTTAAAATGCACCATGCCTATGCTGCCTATGTTTAATACAAATAAATGGTTTATTACTGTAAAAGCATCTGATCTCTCAGGTTCAGGGTTCCTGTGTCGCATCAGATGTCTTCAGTGCCCCTGTCATCTCACCAAAACACTCCCAAACTCCCCAGATACTCCAGCCATCCCAGGACATCCCACCCTGACAGTATGGCCCTGCTTTCTTTTATATCCTTATCTAATCTATTTAATCTAAAAAATACTATATATTGGAAATTAAGGTATGGATGGTTACTGTGTGAAAATGTTTCTCAAATTAAGTTTTCACATTTAATTATACTCAAGTATTACAATGTTTTTGAAATACTGATAATGTCAAGAGACAGAGATATTTGCAAGTTTTTACGCAAACTTTGTAAAGCAACCCAGTTTGCAAAAAACTACAGCAGCATACCAGAACACTAGAGCTTTGGTAAGACAAAATAAATAAATTGCATTTTTTTCTGATAAAACTGCAAATTAAAATGTGATTTAAATAAAAATGAGCAGATTAAAAAAAATTAATAAATAAAATAAAAAACTGGCCAAAATTTTGTGACGCTATATCAATTTGGCAATAAAATAATATTAATAAATAATCATTTGTTTAGCAGTAATAGTAGCATTGTAACTATTAAATAAAAATACAAAAAATATTTAAAAACTAAATAGCAAATATTATTACTGTACCACTACAATATTACAATGAAAGAATACTATTGTAATATTTCACAGTAAAAAAATTTTTAAAAAAATAAATTATTATTATAATTATTAATGCTAATATTATTATTATTTTTTCATTAAAACTGTAAAATGACAATATTAATTTTTATGGATGTCTTAATTGCTTTATTTTCAAATGTTAAACCATCAAACTTTTGTTGCATTTCATGTGCATTAAGTTAACTTTTTACAAACTTAAAAAGCAACCTGTTTACAACCACCTGCAGATACAAAAAAAGGATAAAAAGCGTAATTTTAAATGTTATTTTAATATATATATATATATATATATATAATGAAGATAATAATTATAGATAATAAAGATTAGAAGATAATAAAATATTACAGAAAAAAGACACAAAGAGAAATTTTCCTGACCAATTTACTTTTAGATTAAAAATGTAAAATAACAATATTAATGCTTACAGATGGCTTAATTTTCAAACTTTTATGCTGACTAAAATTGCAGGAAGTTCTTAAAGCTTGTTGACAAGTGCCAACAAGTGACTGCGATTTCGGTTTCTATTTCAATTAATTGTGCAGCAAAAAATCTAACAGCCGTCCTAGCAACCAGACAACACCACCCTAGCAACACTAATAGGCAGCACATCTGTGTGGCATCCAACACTATATATAAGCACATTTACATATCTTCCATATGTGCAGTAAGCAGATGCAAAATGCATATTTAAGATGTGACTGTAAGCTGAGAACAAACCGATCAGCGCTGAATGATTCACAAACTGGTCCTTCCACTCTTAGAGCGACAGATGGCAGGCAAAAATAGATCCACGTCTAATCTCATCATACAGATTGTATAAGCTCAAATGTCGCCCTGAGGAAACATCGTTCAAGCCTGGACTCTTAAATGAAGGACGCAGTAGTTGCACTACAGCCGTTAGATTCTAATGTCGTTTGGTGTTTTGAATAATCAAATGGCGTGATGTTTTTTTGCATTAACACCCGTCAGGTTTCTCTGCCGATGTCCAGACCGTGTTCTCATATGGTGACCCACTGCAGGCTGCCAAACACATTCCTCCCTGTTCCATGATGCAGATGCCCATGTTTGAGGACAATCTGGGCTCCTCAGACCTGCTGCACACAACTCTGTCAGGCATGTCAAAACACAAAAACTATAAATCAGCATGATTGCATTGCAGAAACTCGCATGCTTATGGTTCTGTGTGTTTGTGACAGCAGTGTTCGACTGCCAAACTGGACCGGAAGAGTTTCTGGGAGAGCAGGTGCCTTCGGTGCCTTCGGTGCAGGAGGATAATTACCTTCACATCCGTAGCGTGGAGAGAAGCCCGAGCCGGATCTCATGTGTCTTTACTGAAGGGTGAATGCTTGCTTCACCAGAGTGGATCTCATCAGCCTGAGCAGATTTTGTCAACTCACTTTGGGTTGTGTATGTCATTGAGGGAGTTTTATGGAAGAATTTCCTCATTGACTTCTAATCAGTGGGAGAAACCGGATTTTTTAAACACATTTGGACGCTTAAGCCACATTTTGTCTGTATCTGTGTGTTCTCAAACACTTTTCATTTTTGCTCAGCGACCTTTAGTCGACATCATGTTCACACAGGTGTACCACTGAATTTTATTTCAAACCAGACGAACTTAAAGTGCCCCTATTATGGATGTTATGGAAATCTCTAACACAGCTCTAAGTGAATGAAAGCATCCTGCACAGTTTTAAATCTGAACGTGCACCGTGTATAAAGTTATTGTCTCTCAAAAGAAAGAGTCGACTCTGAATCATTAAAACGAGTCGAATCCCAAGCCGTTTTATATTGACGGAACGAGTCGAGAACGAGAAGTGTCCCGCCCACTTCTTGCACGCGCAGACCCGGGAAAACTTGATAAAAATTTGAAATAAAAAAATCGGGCCAATCAGCGCAGATTAGCGTCACGCAAAGGAGGGGTTTGGAAAAAATGAATCGTTGAGCGAATGAACCAACACAATGAAAGTGTGTTTTAACCTTGCATGCATGTCAACCTGTTGCTGGGACTCCCAAAACCAAAATATGAACTTTTCATTATCCATAATAGGGGCACTTTAATTTTGCCAAATGTTTAGCTTAAAGGAATAGATCACCCAAAAACGAGAATATGAAATATGAAAATATGGAAATGTGCTCATCCTGGCATTGCATCCATGCAGCATTGCATCAGTGTCTCAGCAATGGATGACGGCAGATTTTTGGGTGAACTATTTCTTTATAAAGCGTATTTGTGCATCTTTATTTACAGTAAAGGACACGCTTTGATATTTTGAGTAAACAAATATTTTTGGGGCCACTATATGTAAATAATTAATAAGCCAATAAGCAAAAATAATGCACTTATGACATATTAAAGCCATATTGATGTAAATAGTTATACGCAAAGCATATGTTTGTAATGATTTATCTACTAAAATCATCTATGAACATGAATTGCCTTTGAGGTTTACATACCCTCGTCCAGTTTGTGTGTGAAAACCTTTTAATTGCTGACAGCAGTAGAGTATTTTGTATATTTTTTGGATAAAATGTTTAAATTCTTACATAACACCGACCAGACTACCAACATATCACATTAATGCCATTTATTGCTTTAATAATCTGTTGTTATGATCCAATCTAGAGCAATCTATCTGGTAGCATTTAAATATTTTTTTATCTGTTTTAATAATTAATAATTAATTATAAGTGCCAATTCTGGTTCTCTTTATTCAGCAGATGTGGTCCAATTTATTAGATTGTGTTTTATTAACGTCTACACCTACCCCAACCCTAAACCTACCCCCTTTTACACTAATGCAAAAATAGTAATTATTGTTGTACAGTGTGACAAAAATTACGACGTATTGATGTGCGCATGCGCAGTAGCGCCGTGTGTATCCCTTCTAGCCGGCGCATTAGTCCCGCCTTTCTTTCATCTCAACCACACTGCTTTAGAAAGCCCCGCCCTCACGGCGACGGGCGCCTCCTATTGGTGTATTAACATTCTGAGTGTGAACAGCCCACGATATTACTTATTTTACAATATACGCTCGCGTTCGTAGTTTCAGCTTTTATGATAACACAAGAAATGTTAATAACTGTATTTTTTAGGCAAATAAAGACACACAAACCACAAAATATATAATTAATACACACTCTAGCCACAAAGAAACTCGCCGCCCTCTTTCTAGTTCGGTTGAGCTGTCAGTTTTCCCTCAACCAGTCAGAGCCACCATCGCTAGCCCCGCCCCTTTTCCACAGCGTAAGTTTGGTTGCGCGCCGAGCTTTATAGCAACCGTTGCCCTGAGCTGCAGCGCCATAGTCACCGTAGTCCTGGCGACTGTAACCCACCAACAATAACAACAACAACCTCCTCTCCGCTCCATCCTTACCACCACCTTCCTACCATCCTCATCCTCATCCTCACACTAGTCCAGGTGAATATTTCCATATTAACCGCTCGCTTATAAATAAGTTCACGGTTTAACCGCTGCATGATGCTTGTGGCTTTTAATTTCTATTTGATGATTGGAGTCAAATCTAAAGATGTTGTGTATCGTGAAGGTTTTATCGGTGTCGGTCTGCTGCTGCTTCTTTCTCTGGTGCTTTCTTTCTCGTTCTGCTTCTATTGATGCGGCGCGTCCAGATGTTTCTCTCCTCAATCGCTTTTATTTGTTAAACCTGAAGAGCAAACGACACCTGTCGCGGTTTGAATGGTGTTTACGAATAAATATGACGATAACGACACGTTTGTGAGACCTTAACGCAGAAAACGCGATGAAAACGGTGTTTTATTGAAGCGCAGCATCATCTTCTCCTCACGAAGCAGGTGTTGCTAAGCGGCTAACGTTAGCATTGTGAAGCGATTCTTCGTTACAGTTTGCGTTTGTGTTCGAAAACACAACGTTTTGTGTTCATTTTCACGTTTCTATTCGCTAAACACGCTTTGGTTGTAATAAACGTGTGTATTTGGGTCATTTTTAACAGCTCGGTCATTAGCTTCATTCTGACGCTCATTTGTGATGAAACAATGCATTTTCTCTTCACCGAGTTGTTTGTGTTTTTGTTTTCGACTGATGAATGTTCCTGGGGGATTTTAAGTGGGCTTTTGTGGGATATAATGCTGCATATGAAGATTATCTGTCGGTCTTCTATTGTTATAAAGCAGGAGTTACTCTTGCTAAGCTATTGGCCCTCAGCCTCTGTGGCCGTGTCTCAAAACCTAGTGTGCTGCCTACATAGGGCGCCAGATATCTGGGCATCCATGAAGTAAAACTTGTGTGCTGGCTATCTAGACCAAATTTTTGGGCAACTGTCTAACAGTAGTGGACATCTCTGCCTAAGCAGGCAGCTCATTAGATCACACTGGTTATTATTTGCACAGCTGTGTAAAATCCACCTGTTTATAAGCTCATAGTCACATTAGTGTTGACATCACTTGTCGAATCAAACATGGCCCTTTGACATTATAATTTGTAGTTTGTCCGGTTGCATAGCTTTATGCTTCTTGCGTTATTGTCAAAGTGGATAAAGGAAGAAATGCAGGGAAGGTCATGGGATTGAAGATGTGTCCTAAATCATACTGCTGTTGAATGTTGTCAAAATTGCTCGGTTCACAACGGAAACTGGATGGTGTACTAATAATCCATTTTTTTTCTACGAAAGACTCAAGCACAAGAATGCAACATCATCTGTTTTCTAGTGCTGTCAAGCGATTAATCATCCAAAATAATTCTCAATCCAAATATTATTTACATATGTGTGTGTTGTGTATATTTATTATGTATATATATATAAATACACACACATGCATTTTTATATTTAAGAAAAATTTTATGCTTATATATATATATATATATACCGTATATATATATATATATATATATATAATAAATATACACAGTACACACATGTATATGTGACCCTGGAGCACAAAACCGGTCTTAAGTGTCAATTTTTCGAAATTGAGATTTATTCATCAGCTGAAAGCTGAATAAATAAGCTTTCCATTGATGTATGGTTTGTACTTAAGACTGCTTTTGTGCTCCAGGGTCACATATATATTATGTAAACAAAATCTTTTATTGGATGTGAGTAATCACGGTTAATTGTTTGACAGCACTACTGTTTTCATGTCCAGCCATAATTTGTGTCATTTCATCTTTTACTTTTTCCTGACGTTTGCAAAGGATGATGATGATCTGTGGATGGTCTTTCTCGACGATGGTTTTTACTAGAAGCAAACTTACAGGCCGCCATTGACACCATCTTAAGATGCACCAACTAAACCTCTGCTGGAGTTTGTTTCATGGCTCAGCATAACTTGGCAGTTCGCATTAGTCAGTTAATGCAGTGTTGGTTTGTTGTCTCTTGGATGGATGCAGAAATGCGAGCGATCCTCACACATTCCAAACCGCAGCAGGTTCAAACAAATCGCTGAGGGTTTCCTTGAGTTGCATCAGGGTCCTCTGCGAGATGAAGTAGCGTCTCGCTTCCCCTGTTGTCTTCATTATAGGCTGAGGAACAGGTGTGTGCCATGAGATGCCGGAGGAGACCTGACATGTGCTCAGTGGAGAGGGGCAGCTTGGGATGTCGCTCCATCCAACCTGCTTCACTGACGCTCCACTAGAAATGCAACCTCTGATATTGTGGAAATGAATAGTGATTTTAGTAAAAGGAACTTAATGCATTTTCAGAGTATTTTCTCTGAAAGCAAACAAAAGCAATCCAGCTAATGAAGTTGATCATGTTATTCCAGGTGTTTCTCTCGGGTCCGGTGTTTTAGGTTTATTTTCTGTCGTTGCCTTCCCCCCCGCTAGTCTGTTAATGGCCAAACCGAGAGGACGGGATGTCAGAAACCGCTAGTTATCAGCTCACGTTACCACTTGAAACGGGGCCGTGCCACCTGTCCGCAGTATCCTGTTGCCTTTCCAATCTCTTTAAGAGATACTGATTGAGTAAATAATTCATATCCATTTCATTTCAAGCTATAAACCCATTGAGGTTCATAGCTCTCGAGCGTGTGGGCGGATGCTGCTCAGAAAAAAATGTTTCAGAGCTTCTGCATTTAAAAAGAAAAAAAAATTAAGATTAATCAAGTCTCTTTATTTTAGTGCAGTTTTTTTTTTTTAAATCTAAAGCACCCCTGGCAATGCTAAATATACATCAGCTACTGTAATCACTTCAGATGTCTTTGTTTTAATGATTGTTACTGTATTCTGAATATTTTCGCTTCAAGCTCTATTGGCGCAGTGGATTCATTTTTTGGCTACACTCTTAAAAATAAAGGTTCCAAAAGAGTGCGTTGCAATAAAGAACCATTTTTGGTTCATTTCTTAAAATGACCATTTTCATAAT